CACACACACACACACACACAAAACCGAGGGCAGAAAAATCGCAACACAATCTTCAAAAAAGAGCTGTGTGTGTTGTTGTTGTTTTTTTAACTGGGTTTTAAAACTCAGGAAAGGTAAGCTTGCCTAAGAGCGAGCTCAGTAAGATGAAGGTATGGAAGAGATCAACAGAAAGGCAGAAAATGGAGTGGTGTGGTGGCCGTTCGATCCTAGGCAGAGGCAGATATTTCTCTCTCTGTGCACACTGAAGAATATATCTGCTGATAAAAACTCTGCCTTGGTGACAGGAAGGGCATTTGGCCATTAAAACACTGTTAGCTCTATTCAGTTCCCCAGACTCCACCTCGCAAGGGATTATGGGGTCGTTAAAAGAAAAAGAAGAAGAAGAAGAAGAAGAAGAAGAAGGAGAAGGAGAAGGAGAAGGAGAAGGAGAAGGAGAAGGAGAAGGAGAAAGGCAGAAAATGTTAAAAGACACTGAAGTCCTCTGAAATGTTAGAAAATGATCAAAGTAGCCAGTTTAAAATTCCCAATAATCGCTGATAAATTCCAACATGAACCTAACATGCTTGGTCTAAATACATACTAATGCTTCAGAAAGAAAAGCATTTAAAACCTCACCCGGCCAAAAACTGTAACAACCTGTCAGAAGTAATTAAGTACTGTAGCCCGCACTGCGAATCAATCAACTTTTTAAAAGGCACTTTGTAAACAAAACAAAAAAAGTCTTAGCCAAATCAACCCCACTGATTTCAGATACCACATTACATCCATGCAAGAAAACGCAAGCACAGAATGTGAAAGGAAAGATATCAAATCAAAAGAATTTTTTTTTGGGGGGGGGGGATGTTACAACATTTCCAAATGGTAAAACCAATGATAGAAATAAATCCCCCCAAAATGCCATCACTTTGGCAATGAGCTGCCCGCACAGGTTAGATGTAACCCATGCATTGCTCTGTTCTGCGCCTATTCTCTCGTTCCGGTTAACGTTATTTTTAAAATATTTCCTATCTGATTTGTGGAAAGTTCAGACTGAGCATCAATGCATGGTAAAGCCCAGATTTTACGGTACGGTATGTTCATCAGTTGCCATGGTAACAGCATCCTGCAATGAATCCTGCTGTTGTTATAACTGACCATCTTTTACAGAAAAGGCAATTTTGTATTTAATTATTCAGGGTGTTAAAAGTACTATAAATGATTTATTCCTTATTTATTCCTGGTATACATGTATTTATCTTCTCTTTCTTCTGAGTTTTGTTCAGTTACTTCAATTTGTCGTTGTCTTTTGGAATCCTAGACGTGGGAATTATTGAGCCAAAACTCAGAGTCAGGAACTGTGTAATTAATAAAGCTATTTAGATATGCCAACCTCTCCGTATCATATTTTCAAAGAGCCATGAAAACATGGTTTGAAGATAGTTCAGCCCAGATGATTGACACATCAAGGCCTTGTGGTTATTTTCTATCCAATTTTTTTAATGTCTTAATTTTATTCAATTATTTCGGAGCAACAGGCAAGCAGAAGTAAATAACAAACAAACCTCTTCCAATTCTTTCATACAAAAGATAATTAAATGCATCACATTCTTTTAACTAAAAAGACTTAACTGATTTGACGGGGAAATAATCACAGATCGGTCCTATTCATGTAGAAAATAATACGGTTGGGTGCCTAGCCAAATAAATATAATACAGAGAATTTGGCACTGGTAATTTTTTATTTTTCTGTTTTAATTGTCGCAAACAGTAAACCAGACTATTCCAGACAAAATGTTCAGATCTTTTCCCACTGCTAACCTAGTTTTGTACAGTATTATAGGCACCGCACAAGATAGATCTCAATGGAAAGACTTCAGTTTAAAGTGGACGAATCCTTTTTGTCAACTTCAGCTTTCTAGTATCTAATCCTGTGGTTTGTGCACAACTGTCAAGGCAATTTCCTATTTTGCAAAGTGATTTTAGTACTTTTGAGCAATTGTCACAGCCCCTTCTAGCAGCAAGAAGTGTCAAGAAGAAAGCTTGTTTTTCTACACACAATACACACAGTTACAAATTACAATTGATCCAAGAAGTAATTGTCTTTTATTGCCAAGAATAATCAGCAGGCTTTATTATTCGGCCCACTGGTAAAGCAGTCCTTTGGACAAAGCTCCTGGGATGATATGCAGAAGTACAAAATTAAAGTTTACAATAAAAGCAGAGGTTGGTTAAATATAATTTAACAAAGAATGAAAGTATGCCAAATTCTAAAACTAACTAATGCCAGGAAAAACCTGACTAGTAAAATATACACCAGGTTGAAAGATTTTAAGTTACGTTTTAGAACGTAAGTTTGAAAACTAGAAAATGATATAGAAAATAAGAACAACACAATCTAGAAAACTAGAAATAAATAATCTAGAAGGCTCAAGGTTGACTCAGCCTTCCATCCTTCTAAAGTCGGTAAAATGAGGGCCCAGATTGTTGGGGACAATATGCTGACTCTGTAAACCGCTTAGAGACAGCTGTAAAGCACTGTCAAGCGGCATATAAGTCTAAGTACTATTGCTATTGCTATTCTATTCCTATTCTATTCTAAATTATATTCTTTATTCTATTCTATTTATTATTCTATTCCATTCCATTCTATTCCATCCCATTCTACTCTAAATCTTATTCTACTCTACTCTACCTTGAATCTTATTCTATTCTATTCTAAATATTATTCTATAAATATGATTCTATTCTAAATATTATTCTATTCCAAATATTAATCTATTCTATACTTTATTCTATGCCTTATTCTAACTATTATTCTATTCTAAATATTATTCTATTCTACTCTACTCTATTCCTACTCTTATTTATTCTAATCTATTCTATTCTATTCTATTCTAGTCTATTCTAAATATTATTCTATTCTAAATATTATTCTATTCTAAATATTATTCTATTCTAAATATTATTCTATTCTATACCTTATTCTAAATCTTATTCTAAATGCTATTCTATTCTATTCTACTCTACTCTATCCCTACCCCTATCCCTACCCCTACCCCTACCCCTACTCCTACCCCTATCCCACTCTATCCCATTCCATTCCATTCCCATCTAAAAATAATCATTAGCCCAATCTCTTCACTCAAGAAGAAAGTCTCAGAGAAACACATTTTCAAGAATTGACTCCGTTTTAACTCTTCGCCTGCTCCCTAAATGTTTGGGCTTGGGATTTAAGTGGCATGTACAGTTAGCAAGACAACGTCAGAAACCGTCCATTTACCTGTAGGCTAGGGCCAGGGCCCAGACGCAGGCAGCACAATAAAGACTATCGTGGATTTTTGCTCTCTGGTTCTCACTGCACGTTTTTGTGGGGAAAAGACCGGTGGTCGGACTTTGGAAAACTAACACCGTGGCCTTGACTGCCAAGAGAAACAAAGAAATGTGCAAATTATTATCTAAACTCTTTTCAAACAAGCATCTTTTTTTATTTCCATGAGGCAAAAACTCCCCTATGAATAAGGTGAGAAATATACTCCCAAAAGCACTTCCTTGTTAATTTCCCATGAGGGCTACTTCTCCCCCTACAGTTTCCTTTAAAAATCTATATTCTTGGCAATGTTAGTTGATTTTGGTTCCCTAAGCTTTGTCTACCCTATTAAAAAATAGCGTAACTGTTATAGCTTCGTTCTTCCTTGAGGCACCCTGTAAAACACACGACCAAGAATTACAGCACTTGAGGAAAATCAAAGTAACTTTTTCTCTGAAACTTGGGAATCAAAATGTCTAGAAAATGTCCCATTTGACTGGGATGTTACAGAGGATTTATAATAGCCTGTTCTACTGACGACCAAAATTCTTAAGAGATATTTTGTGGATAACATGTAGACACATTTTGACACCAACTCTTAAAAAACTTAAATGCAAAAGTGAAATGAAAGGAACAGAAGTTGGAAACATGAAAATCTGGTGAAATCAATTTGACAAATTTACCACATCACCCTGCAGAGTGATGAGGACATTCGCACTTCTTCCCAAATAAAAACAGAATATTTTAGCATGCATTTGTCTAAAGCTATCCTAAGAAACTAGGCATGTGACAGTTTGATGGCATTTATTATTTGATGCTTTTGATCTTCCAAGCCACATCTTTCCATCAAACATAAAAAATGCTTTAGTAATTTGTTAATGCTTTCAGTCATTGAACAGTAACCATTCAAATGTTACTGAAAGGAATACACTATTTATTGCCCAATTGTGATTTTTGATTATGCCAACTATTTTAGAGAAGTTTGCAAACCTCTCTCCTTTTGAAAATTATTTATTTATTTATTTATTTGGGCTTTATATAAATTGAGGAGATTTGTATTGAATGGTATGAAGGAAGTCATCAATTGTTCTTGAGAAATTAACATCAAGGGTAAATATTCCACCAATCAGCCAATATTCCTTTTGAAAGTCATTTATAACTTGTACATGAGGAAGTAGTTGGGAGAAAGACAGTATTCTTTTTAAAAACAAATCACAGACCAGGTTCAGAAGAAGTGCATTAAAATACAGCATTTCCCAAATAATTATATTCACTCCACCATTATGGCAAGCAAGATGGCATACAGTTAGTTTCTTGCTTATTTTCTGGATAACCGGAAAAAAAAATAACTTTATGGCCACGATCATTACTAATATTAAACATCATGTGAAAATAATCCTTGTTTACAGGTGGGAAAAAATCAACAGCAGCGCATAATGAATATGTGAATATTTTATGATCCCAATTACATTTCTGACAAGAACATAACAGTATTTATCTTGGCTCCCTCAACTTTCTCAAGACGGAAAATAATTTTGTGTGACTTACCTATACAATAGTAATGATCCAATTTATCCCACAGACTTTCTGCATCTGGACTCAGCAGATTAATGCTTTTCATGGGCTCGTATACAGAGCCTAAAGGAAGAAATTAAGAGGGATTACAATCGTAATCAAGGGATTACAATCGCAAGAAACGAAAACAGAATTGCAGGCCTTTTGAAAATATTCTCAAGTATTGCTTTCGTTCACTTCTACTGAGTTATTTGTGTTCAGCTGTTACGCCTCATGTTAACAAAAGGTAACCAGGAGAATCCACGGAAATAAAAACACAGCCTTCCGTTAAAATGTTTATTGTGTAGAGAAAAAAAGAGGGGGGAAAACCCCTTTTTAGAATTCTTCTTTGCAGGAATATATCCGGTCAGTATTTCGTGCATATTGAGAAATTCAGTATGAATAACAACTTATGCAATCCAATCAAAACTTTGAACCACTCCGCACCAGCATACCGTATGCAGTCAAGAAGAATAAAGAATTATTGAGGTGGAAAGAATTATTATTGAAGTGCCAAATATCTATAAAATATTCTGAAAGAATTGGCAAATAATATATATGTGGTGACCAGTCTTGCAAAATAAATCTAGGGCGACTGTCGTGCATTCCGGGAGAGCCAAGGTGGCGCAGTGGTTAAATGCAGCACTGCAGGCTACTGCTAGATCAGCAGTTCAGCGGTTCAAATCTCACCGGCTCAGGGTTGA